GACTGTTTAGTGAATGTAAATGAATCAAAAGTGGACATTACTGAAGTACTGAGCACTTTTCTCCCAACTATGCAGTCTTTAACTTTCACAAACAAAAACTACTCACAAATTTACACGCACTACTGACTGCCTTATACAGTCTCTTTTTGGCCCAAATGGATAGAATACCGCTGAATGAAGAACGTCTATGATCAATTAATATAACGGGAAGAGTCATTTCCATACAAAGTGGACAAAGGAAAAAGCTCTAATGAAGATCTGTGTTATTATGCGTGCTGGCTAATTTCTCACAGCATCAAGCAAAAGCCTGCAGGGACAAAGTGACTGAATCAAGAGAATGTGTATTAATGGCGAAGGCTGCTAATTGGCCAAACAGAGAGAGGGGACATTAATCTTAAAGGCTATTTTAGACTATTCAAGTCTAAAGCAAACTTGGCACTGCCTAATGGCTAAAATCTAAACTGTGAGTCACAGGGGTACTTAAAGGGCTGCAAGAAGGTTAATCTGTGGAAATACACAATAAAGATTCTCTTTTATCTTTATTTTTTAACCTCTGCACTTTTATTGACTTCATAGTGATGCATTATGCATTTTTTTAATTCTCACACCTTTATTACAAAATTGCAATTAAAAACCCACAGAATTCAACTGATATTTGTTATTCAGTCATCATATTTACTGAGCTTTAATTTCTCAAAGCTCATACAGTCAGATAGAAAAGAAAAGAAAACAATATGCAATATTTTTTGTTGTTGTTGTTTAAAAATGTAAAGTTTTGTATTGCACAGTGTCTGCTTTTGGTGACCTTTCAGGATTTTAGGGAATGCATGCAACAAAGCTATCACCGATAGTAATAATATAAAAGACAAATATTTATGTTGTGATAGCCGTTGAAAAACTGTAAATGAACTGTAAGTGAAAGTGGGATGTTTGAGTTGCTCAGTCTGACGTTGTGCACTGATTTGACAAGCTTAAAGACTGATGGTGTCTATTGTCTTTGATGAAGCACTGACACTTAGTGGCTGATTGGTGTAACTACACTGTAACTGAGCCGGTAAGATTTCATCCATCAGTCGCAGAGATCTCACCTCAGGCAATCCAAAACTGAATCTAGATGAAACGTACACTGTATGAAATTTAGCTTTGTAAACCAAATATTGCGATTTAAAGGCAAGTAATAAGAGAGGAGTCATGTCAAATGTACTTGATTTTTGAAGGGCTTTAGAGGATTGACTTATACACGGTTACACTAAATTGCTGAATAAAAACAACTTTTTTGATAAGCTTTGTTGATTTTTTTTTTAAAAAGCTACTGAAAAAATTGTGCTTTACTGTTTGCATTAGCCTAAAACTAGTGAACACAGAAAGGGTGGATCAAATGACTACACACTGCTGGAGAAATTAGAGTCACTGATGACTATGCTAATCATACATTCATCCTCCGCACCTGCTGTCACTTATAGTCCTCTACTTCTCTCTTTTTATTTGGAGCAATTTGCTTCTTCTTCTTCTTCTCTCGACTGGTCCCTTTAGAGATCACCACAGAGGATTATTTGCCTCCATTTTACCCTATTCCTAGCATGCCCCTCTGTTTCACCAACCCTCTACATGTCCTCAGCACTACATCCATGCAGCTCCTAGGTCTTCCTTTTGTCCTCTCCACTCCTCCCTGCCTGCACTCTCTCCTTCACCTGCTTAGATGACCCAAGGTATTTAAACTCATCCACCTTCACTGCCTCTGCTCCTTGCAGCTGTTATACCTGTCTGCCTCATATGGATTACATTTAAAAGCCACTAGCTGGCGCCATTGTCCCCCACTAAACAGCGCTGGTGGCGTTGAAGAAAATGCATCACGTGATTAATCATCCGCCAAATTTTGGATGGTGCTTTAAAGTTAGCGAACACGGTTGGTTAAGGAAGTTTTCCAACATGCCACCAGTAATGTCGAACATGTTACGACTTTACAGAATACCAGCTCAGAAAAAGTACCTTTATCCATGATATGAAGAGGTTTTAATTCGAAAGTTTTAACCGGAAGTTGGTTTTATTTATTATTTTACGTAAACTCGTGGGATAAAAGTGAAGAGGAGGAAGATTCTAATCACAGTAATAGTAGCTATGAACCAACATTTCAAGGATGCCGACTTGAATAACACCGTGGAAAAGCCTGGGCAGCAATATTTGGAGAGGAGGAAGCAGGTTTGACAATTTGAAGTACACAGTTAAGTTTTGTGGTGCAGTATCTTGGAAACGCTACCCTGTGCAAAAGTTGCCTGTCCATTCTTCTGTTTGTTCTCCGACCGACGTTTACCAAGCTTGTTTACATAGTTACTACTGGTTAAATGTACGTTAACCTACGCGTTTAAATCATTAATATCTGGTCTCCCATCCCTGTATCTAAATTCATAAGAAACAGACTAGGTTAACGTGTAGCTAGTTGAACACCGAGCCTCTGTATTTCTGGTTTACCAGCTGTGTATGTAGGCTTCGTGTAAGAGTAGTCGCCACGTTATTTGACAAATAGTTATATGACATTTTGTCTTTTTGCACCTATGTTGCACTGTCTTTAAGGTTCTACCTCCAAAGGGAACTACCACAGGAACCAGTGATGGTAAGTGTAGTCTGGGTGTCACATGCCCTTTTGGGTTCCAACAGATCTTTAAGCGTTATATATTTATTAAATATTGCACGTCACACCACATTTGTCTTCACTGGTTAACATGATATTATTGAATTATAGCTTTTTTTTCTATTTTAAAAAAGGTGAAAAGCTTAAAAGCAAGCCCCAAATGCTACTGTTGACACAGTGGGTTGCAATGTTCTGTACATAACAAAATGCAAAAGTTCAGAGAGTCTTGGGGAAATTACATTGTTGTTTTTGTTTTCTTGTTTTTGTTTTTTAAGTGAAACAAAGTATATAGAGCTACTGCAGCTGGTAGCCCAGCTTTCTTTAAAAGAAATTTCAAGCGCAATTGTCCCATTGCAAAAAATTTTGTGTTTTGAAAAACATTCAACTTGTCTAAGCAAATTACTGAAGCTCTAAAACAGGAGTGGGCGGTTGATTTTCCCAAGGGTCACATGGGAAACTGGCACTGCTCTGGAGGCATTCATGGGAAAGCTTATAAAGAGCTAAAATTCATATTTAGCAGAATTGAGTTCAGCTCGTTAGTGCGGCCGCCTACAACAATCTCATGTGGGCCCTTGAGAAAACAAATTGCCAATTGCTGATATAAAATCTCACTGAAAGCTAGTTTTTCCATTTTGGACACATTTCTAAAGTTAGACCACATATTGCACTTGCCACATCACATGTACGGACAGTGCTACACAAATTAAAGAAATTATTGAATGACTAGAATTATTATTTTTAATATTTTTTTTTTTTTAGACTTTGCACAAAGACTTGTTTTGACTGGTGGGTCCAAAGAGTTGAAATGCTACAACAGAGCTTTGCATGAACTGTTCAAAGCAGTCGCCAATCATCCTGAGCAGTAAGTGATCAGTAACACCATGGAAGTGTTTGCATGTTAATGATGACTTCTTTGAGCAAAACCTGTATGTGGTTGTGTTTGGTTTAATTTGGCACAGTTGTAGTTTGCATGGCAACAATGAGGACCTGAGTGCAGACTCCACAGTAGTCCCACTTCAGGAGTCTCAGGTGCTGTTTACAGAAATGGGTATGTGTGTTTCACAGGTAGTAGTCCACTTTGTTGCCAAGGCAAATGTTTTCTGCTTCACTCAGAAGCTGAAATTATATCCTAAGTTGATTTAAAGTTTTCTTTTAATAACTTGATACTCTTGTCCAGATGTGACCTTGCCTTCCTATCTGGATGGTAGCTCTGGGTCCCAGGAAGCTGAGAGTGACAGAGAGCTGCAGTGGGATTTCCAGTTTCCCAACTCATGTGACTCATCTTCCTTTGCACTAGTCAAGATTTACCATGAAATGATGACCATACACAAACAGCTAAAGGTTTACACATATTTCTTCCTCTCATAATAGAATAAATAAAGCTCTATGTCCAGAATTGCTCAATCAATTAAAACGAAGAAACCTTACAAACATGGCATGTTAGGTATTTCGGTTTTTGTTGTGCTGAAGCTGTAGACTCAGCATGCATTTGTGTGTTCACAGGCAGAGCGACAAAATCAGCAGCAGCGGGAGAGAGAACTGCATGAGAGAGAAAGGAGGCTAAAACAGCAAGAAGAGGCTTTGCTGAAGCTGGCTGGGATGAAAGAGATGGTCCACAGTCGCATTGTGACTATAGAGGAGGTTTGACACGAATAAAACATCATATTACATTAAAAAGAAGGGACGTGTTCTTCACCACACATAGTTCCCTTTCCTTCCACCTTCTACATAACCATCCATGCACTTACAGGTCATGGATTATTCCATAAGGTGTCACTGCTATCTTCATTTTGTGTGAATGTTCAGTTATGTGTGCATCTCACCAGAAACACCAGCATGAATTGAGCCGGCTGCAGGACCTTCTTCGAGAGAGAAACAAAGAAAACAAGAGGCTTAAAAGCAATTTCGAGACAATCAAGGAGCTCAATGATAACATGAAGAAGCAGGTTGGAATTGGTTGTTTTCGTAACATTTCTAATCTAGGTCTGAACATTTCATAAGCATGATTATTTCCAACTTTTGAATGTCATATTCAAAATGAAGATGATGGCATCTTCAAAATTACCATTCAAATCTTCCCAAAAATGAAGTTGAAGTTTTCTTACCAAGCCAGTAGCTTGTTGAGCCAGAGGAGGGCGCTACAACATAAGATATCTGGAAGTTCACTAATACGACAGTGTATTAGGATTGCTTTGTCTACACTTGTTTTGTTGATCTAAGTGCTTTTGGGGAATTTATATTGCAACAGCGCACTGATAGTCATTGTCTTTTTTTCAAATCAACAGTCGAATGAGATCAGTGAACGAAATAAGAGGCTGGAGAGCCAATCCAAGAGGGTGCAGGCTCGGCTTGAAAATCTTCAGGTAACAACAAATATATCAGTGCAGAAAAGGCCGTTCCTTCATGTTTTATATGAAAAGCCTTAAAGTTGTGACGTTTAGTCTCACAATCAGTTTTCAGCATCTAAATAATGAGAGTTGAATAAAGGAGGCCATTCTGATATCTGTTATCTTTAGTAAATGGACAAAACAGATATTGACATTTACTTTTTTTTTTTTATTATTTTAAGAGGAAATATGAGCACAATTTAGCAACAAGAAGCTGCAACAAAGGGAGTATTAAGAGTACCGAGTGTTTTAAACCATGCAACAAGGAGAAAGCAACAGCTTCTGGAAAACCCAACAACAAGGTACTTCATCTACTCAGAGTGCGTCTCTGTGTGTGTGTGTGCGTCTCTGTGTGTGGGAGTGGGACCGGGGGGTTGTTTGTTTAACAGTTAAATGTACTACCAATCAGCAGGATTTACAGATTTCCTCTAATTACAGCCATGTTACTTAATCTATCGTTAATGTGTTTAGTGAAAAACGCTGCACATGGTTTAGTGTGGTTAGACAAACACTAACACTGCTCTTTACATATACCCGGAAAGGAAATGGTACAACAGCCCTTCTCCACAAACCACACGCATACTTCCAACTGACATGATAAATCATAGTTTGTGATTATGTTAAGTTATCATCACTGCTATTGATGAAGATGGATATACGGAGTTGGATACAGTTATTTCCCTGCTGAGAAAGCTGGTTTTGTCAAACTTTTATTGCTTTATTTTCTTTTTTAACACTTTTTCTTTGCATTATATTTGAGCTGGGAGAGGTCTAATAAACACAGCAACTGTAACTTATTTTTCACCCTTCTTCCTTCAGGGCAGCGTAACTCCCTCTCCACTGAAGCTCGTGGCCTTTCTGCTGGAGTGGGTGCTTGATGTAACAGAAAACAAAGTGGAAGGTGTAGGCCGGTGTTCAGAGGTTCTGCTCAGCGAAAGATGCCTCAAGGTGGTGTGCTCAATGCAGCTTTGCTCTGATCTTTGCATTTCTTCCCGGCTCTATTCCAACACACACAGTTGGTGTCACAACAACAAAAAAGCAGGAGATGATGAGACACGGACAGAGTTTGATTAGACATAACTTATCTTGGGTTTCTTAGGTGCTGCCGTTATTAGCAGACCAGCTTCATCACACTCCTTTGTCAGAACCTAAGCTCCTCCTCAACCTGCTTCGCCTCATTTACTCTGCTTTGAGACACTTGGACAACAGCAGGCAGGTAAAGATAATATTATTTCTGTGAGCAAGCTGTGTTTTTAGAGCAGGTAATTTTTAGATGCACCAAGGAACTTACTGTATTATATTATGGACATGTGGAGCATGACATTTTTACCGGAATTCAGCTAAAAAAAATAATAATTAAACCTTTGGCCATGCATGATATTTATTAGGAAATGTTCTTGTTGGGTTGTTGAAAGAAATGTTACGCTATGACTATTTAAGCTCTGGCTGAGACCATTATAAACAAAGTCTAACACAGTCACTATTCTTTTTCATGAAAATTTTAAGCGTGTGTTCACTGTGAGCAAACAAGCCAGTGCTGAAAAAACGATGCCAAGACAGTGACCTTCAGGGGGGATGGTTTGTTTTTCTGCAAGAAAGACAAAATGGGCTGCATCTTGTTTATATGATCTGCCACTGTTTAAAAACTAAATCTCCCGCATAGCTGCCTGAAAGGACATTAATCTAAGTAACAGCCGCTTTATTCCTAAAACATTGCTTCTGGACACTTTTCAGCAGCAGTGTTATTCCTGTTACTAGATAAGCTTTGCTTTTAGAAAGTAAGAACACAGCAGGGTGAGATTACAATCTATAACAAGATGCAGGTAATTCTGTGGCCTGGCTCATTCATATTTCATCAGCCTTTATAAAGCTGAGTGTTATTCTGCTAGCAGAAAGCTGCTGGACCTCATTTCAAAACATGAGGCTGGCTCTAAAGTTGACACAGTTTTTCCCTCCCCACACATCAGAGGTACACATCGACTTCAAGCGGGGGATATCCACTTTATCGCTACATCTCCCTTCACACTAAGGAAGGCTTTCTTGTTTGGTAGTCCTGTCGAGTTTCATCTTGTGTTTACATGAGATGCTTGGTTTTCTGAAGTCCCCTGCCTGTATGTGTGTCAGACAGAGTCTAGACATTTGAGCAGGCTGTCGCCGTTTTTGTGGCTCTGATAAGGGTGTGTGTCCTTCTCCTTATCTGGCCACAAGCCCCTCAAGAGTCCTAGATAACAAACATTGTATATCAGCAATTGCTATCTGAATGTGAGACATTATTAAACCGTGGCCCAATCCCATTTGCAGACTTGGACTGCAATTTTCATGCTCGTATGAAGTCCTTACCAGCTGCCAGTCATCTGGCCTCAGTCCCAGCTATGAGCTTGGGTTCAGCCTACACCAACTGTCCTTATCCACTTACTTTCTACCGTGTCCAATCTTCCAGCCTTAAGTCCTTGTCACTAGTCCTGCTACAGGGAGCTTGGGCCCGTTAAACCACTTGCTTCCTTATTGCTAAATAACGTGTTCCCTTTATATGATGAATACCAACTGGCTTTGAGCCAAAACACATAGATGGAGAAACAGAGATGACTTTAAGATGAGGGTTCTTGGTGAACCAGTGGAGACCTTGGGGAAAGGGAAAGACCACCAGCTCTTCAGCTTTCAAAATACATAAATCTTGGATAGTAGCTGTAGTTTACTGTGCTGATTTATTAGATCCATCAGTTATGGAAAAGTTGCAGAAGAAGCCTGCTGGCTCCCTGTCAGGCTGACCTTGTATTTTATACACTAGCATTTGATGAAGATCATTGTAGGCATGTAATTTCTGTTTTGACAGTTATATAACAAAAGTAAATGATTGCAGGCACAGTTGCTAATATTGCGCAATGGCCAGAGCATCTGAGTGTGTGTTTCTGTATATTTTGCCTAGCATGTAGCACCATCTGCTACTCTGCAATGGATAGGAGAGGAAGTGTCAAAGCCTGCAGAAGATTCAGATCACCCTATGAAATGCTCTGAAGCAGCTGGAAGTTGGGCCCTTTACCGAAGCCCTTGTCCTCATACACGGATCCTTTCTGTCCTCATTATCTTCAGCACCATCACACAAGGTATCAATGAAAACACGTGTGTGTATATGTATATGTGTGTGTGTATATATGTGTATGTATATATGTATATATGTATATATATATATATATA